TTAAGAGCGGCATACTAGAGACAACTGCCGAATGCTGCACATTAAAACGGGTTAGCCTGCCGCCTGGAGGTCAGAAAAGATCTTCATGGTGGACATGACAGGTTCTACTGGCAGTTAAAGGGAAGAAAGCAGGGTTCAAGAAATGGCTTGGAAACAAGGAGCCATCTACTCGCGTGCGATATGTCGAGGCACCTAGGGCGGCAGCCATAACAGCGGCAAAGGCCAAGACAGATTCCTGGGAGAAGTTCGGTGAGGTGCTGGAGTCGAGTTTTCATGCGGCAAACAAAGTATTCTGACAGACCATTCGCCGACTCTGAGGTGAAAAGAAGGGCACTTTAAGAGTCTTGAAAGACAGATCTGGAGACTGTCTTACAAAGGATGAGGACACTCTTCGGCGATGGCAAGAGTACTTTAACGAACAACTTAACCCCAAACAACCGCAAAAAGACTCACCTGTAGAGCAGAAGGGTAAGATATTACTATCTCTGTAGATGAAATTGCACAGGTTGTGAAAAGCTTGAAAAATGGAAAAGTTGCCGGAGTTGACGAAATCCTCCCTGAAATGCTCAGGGCATTAGCCGAACAAGGCATGTGCTGGCTAACACGTGTCTGTCAAACTGCGATGACTATGGGGAAGACACCAGCGGACTAGAGAAAGGGAGTTGTTGTACCCCTGTTCATGAAAGGTGACCACAGGGAGTGCTCCAATCATAGGGGCATAACGTTATTGAGCCTCCCAGCTAAAGTCTATGCAAAGATGTTAGAAAGGAGGTGCCGTGAAATAGTTGACCTCAAAATCCAAGAAGAGCAGTGTGGATTCCGGCCCGGTCGAATCACCTCTGATCATATATTTGCCCTGCGCTAGATTCTTGAGAAATCGTGGGAATACGCCAAGCCGGTGTACATGTGTTTTGTGGACCTAGAGAAAGCGCATGACCGGATCCCACGCAACAGTCTGTGGATATGCCTTCGTGCATACGGAATTAATGGCTAGTTGCTAAGGGCCATCCGATCACTGTATTCTGATAGCAGGTGCTGTGTAAGAGTTGATGGCATTAAGTCGAAACCGTTCAAAGTTCGCACTGGTCTCCGCCAAGGCTGCGTCCTGTCCCCGATCCTGTTTGTGTTATGCATGCATAGAATAATCAGGAACTGCCAAGGCGATGAGAATATCGGTGCAGGAGATGTGAAGATGAGAAAGGTTGCTGTTTGCAGACGGCCTTGTTTTATTACCATCTTCTGAAACTGATCTACAGTGCTCCTTAGAAAGGTTAGCAGCTGAGTGCGACGTGACCGTCATGCGTGTGAACGCATCTAAAACGAAAAGCCTAGTGCTTTCTCGTTCTCCAGTACGTTGTTTTCTTCAGATTAATGGAGAGGCAGTGGAGCAGGTGGAGAAGTTCAGGTACCTCAGAATTGTATTTACTAGTGATGGAAAATTGGCGGAAGAGATCGACCGGCGAATTGAAGTAGGCACTGGCGTTCTCCGCGAACTGACCGAAATATTGTGACTAAGGCAGAACTGAATCTTAAAATTAAGCTCTTAGGGTTCAAGTCGATCTTTATACTCATGCTGATATTCTGTTATGAGTCATGGGCTATGATTGAAAAAGTTCAGTCCCGGGCACAAGCGGTTCAAAGAGGCTTTTTAAGACGAGTCGCTGGCGTTACTCTTCTCGATTTGGTACGGAATACAGACACCCGCTGGAGCTTTTGTTTCCAGCCGCTGCTTCTTCAGATTGCGAAATCATAGCTGCGATGGTTTGGGTACTTGTTGTGAATGTCTCCAGAAAGGAATGGTAAGCAGCTGCTTCTTGCCCAACCGACCGGCAGAAGGCTCAGGAGACGGCCAAGATTAACCTGGTGCAAATGTATGGAAAGAATCTGGTCCAGACTGCACTTGTCTTTTGCCGAAGCTCAGACTCTGGCACAGGATCGGGAACGTTGGAAGCTCTGTCTGGCGCCTCTACCTCCGGGACTCGGATGTAGTAGCGGCCATGGAAGATGAAGATAGAGTAAACTGAGGGCACGCATTACGCAAGCACCAAATCAGTCACCAATATGGAAAACTTTATGATCAATCGAGAAAATAAGAGCAGGGATTTGAAGTTTTTAATGCAAACCAAATTCCCAACCATGGTGTCCTTGGTATACTGAATGAATTTTCTAACGTCTAACTTATCGTTCTAGCAATCATTCTTCTACACGGCTGCAACAATTCTCTCTCCATTATGTTTCGTTTTGTTTCATAATTTTATTTGTAATGTTGCCTCGTCGTTTCTCCTGAAAGAAACAATTCTTGAATCTGGACGTAACTCTGAGTCACGTAGGAATCGCCACTGATTCACTGGATTAACAATCTCCTGTCACTACTGCGGATTAGTACGGCGCAGTCGCACCATTCCCTTGATTCTACTAGCTAGAACATGCGTTTGTTCGACTCAACTAAGTGGTGCAGCCTTGCGCCCATGCACTGCCCTAAATTTTTCTGGAATCGTAGCTTGTTTAAACTGTCCCTTAGGCTACTAGGAGCAATGAGTCGGTGCACTACGCTGTGTAAGTTCAAATAAGTAACATTAGATCATTTCTTCTGGCGGTATTGAAAACTGGCAGTT